GCCTTTGTATCTCTTAGCCGTGGCATTGGGGCTATTGTTTTTGTTAGCAACTGCATATAGCAAAAATACGGCACGTAGGTTTCTTGTAAAGTGGGTACAGTAGTGGAGCTAATAAAGTACAGAAGCCGGACTGGGTTCCGAAAGAGGTTATAGGGGAGTATTAAAGGGGGAGGGGGGAGAGTAATTTGGTTAATCGAAAATTTAACGCCACTATCATGATGTTCAGTCTATACAAGGAGCAGTTGTACTGGAAAGTAACCGAGATAGTAGCAAGTCTAAAAGCGAGGGCTTCGCTTTTAAATTTCCCATTTTGGGGGATGTCCGACCCTGGTCATAAACCAAGAAGCCTTGGGGTTAATGGTTCCACCCAAGCAACGCGATTGCGCCTTTGCATAAGTGACTGGAACGCCCTTTACACCATGATTTTCCAAATTTTGCTTGGAGGGAAGGTGATGGAGGTTTTAGCTCTGTGTTATATACTAGTGTTAGTTTACACTATTGAAGCAGATGAAGGAAATTGAAAATTTTTTCTCGAAATCATTTAAATTTCGCCTCCAAAATTGACTTCTTGAGTAATTGTATTAAGAATGGATGCACTGTGATCATGATACTTTTCATTAATCCATGTATTTATACTGCCTTACACAAGCCATTTTCTTGAATTTGCAGGCTTGGCATTGGTACCATGCTATTAAAGCATGTATTCGCTCTGTGCAAAAAAGATCCGACAATTGACAGTATTTATCTTCACGTGCAGGCAGGTTTTTTTTTAAATGTGTTTTTGTTGATTTCAGGGTGGGTGGATGCATGTTTATTATTATTATCATTATTTTTTATGCGTTTTTTGCAGCTATGCAACGCAGAAAAAGCACATTGACGAAGGGTTGTCTGTGTGTTTGTATGTGCGTCTGTACCGATTTTTCATCTCAAGACCTATAAAAGCCACAGGGCTGAAAATTCGGGAACTTAATCTACACGCACGTACGGCCCCCATTCTTAAAAATGAGCGCCCTTACCTGCGTGGTACTCGCGTACGAACCCGCTAAAGTTTTTTATGGCTAAGCTGTTAACTCGGGAACCAGGAACGCTGAGAGGCTGAAATTTTAAGGGGATGTTCCCCGTCCAAGTGGGTATTAATGAGCTCGAACCCAGCCCCCGGGTAGGCGTGGTACCCACGTACGGTCCCGTGAAAGTTTTCGGGTAAGTTGCTAACTCGGGAACCTGAGAAGCTAGAAGACTGGAATTTTGAAGGGATGGTTCCTGACAGTCCTAGCGGCCAGTATGAAATTCTTTTAGCTAGAAGCATCTGCCGGAAAAACCAGTGCCGTTTGTGACAAAAATCTACGGGGATCTCTGCAAAAAACGCATCTTCGCGCGGGCAGCTCGTGCGTTGGCCAGTTGTGATTGATATTAATCACTATTATTATTTGCTGTTAGCAGTTATTATCAGTAATCATTAGTGTTATCCGTTTGTTAAGGTGAACAATGAGTCGGCGCTGGCATTTTACAAGCATTTTGGCTTTGAAATTACCGGAACTGCGGAGCAATACTATAAACGGATTGAGCCGAGCAGTGCTTTTATTCTTGTGAAGAAAATTGAACGATCGGCAGCGACCCAGCAGCACTCGGCCCAGTGAATTCGTGTGATGTGCCCACTGCCTT